CCATGGCGACTGTCGCTGGAAGCCACCTCCTGCTGCCCTTGGCATTGAATCCTGCCCTTATGACCTTTTCGTGGTAGTTGACCTTTTCGTGGTAGTTCTGACTCATATGCCGTCCCAAAAGCATATCCATTCCTTTTTTTTCTTTTGTACTGTCTTTTCATCAGACCTCGAGTCAACGGAGTATAGAAGGATCATACCCAGTAACATTCGTTTTCATGGCTAGGCTTTAAGAGCCTGCCTGTATATATAATGACAGATAAAGCTTTATTCAAAATAGAGGTTCAATTGAAGTGATCTGTCGAATCATTGTTGCTCTTAATATTAAACTTCTATCAACATATATTACATCACCTCGATATCAACAGTGACATTTGCTCTCCCTTTATGTTTCACTCAGTCAATAAGCTAACAAACAGTTGAGTTGAAAAATCGAAAAGAAATCGTCACAACAGTAGGAAGCTAATCTGTAGAAAGTTTGATTTGATTCAAAGCCGTCTATCCCAAACTAACGCCTCTATACCATCCGTTCAGGTCTATCTAAGTATGTAAATTCCATTCATTCTTCATAGCGATGCCGCATCATGCATAATAAATGAGGTGATGCCTTCATTCTCCTTTTGTTAACAACCGCCAAATACCGCACAGCGTAGAGACTTCTTCATATCCGCATAGTCTCAAAACAAAAACGCACATAAGAGCGAAAAAAAAATCCAATGAACTTTTCTAGTTGTCCTCGTCGTCGGTGTCAGGAGGATGAGGAGTACCCTTAGGGCTGTTGAGCCATTCAATGTGACGAAGTCTGCGACGGACCTCACGCTCCTTGAGCTCCTTCTTGGTCATCTTCTTCTTCTTCCTGGCCTTGAACTTCATATCCGAGTTGTCCTCGATACCACTATTGACAGCACTACTAACCACGGAGCTGGCAGCAGTGCTGTTGACGCCGCTGCTGGGACGGCTGTCCTCAAAGCGGTCGAGACTGACAGCAGCGTTCCCTCGAAGGGCAACACGGCCGTCACGGACGTGCCATTGCTCAGAGCAGAGGGCACCGACAAACTCTTCATTGTGAGAAATCAGGATAACTCCACCCTTGAAGTCGCGAATAGCAACTGCAAGACCACCAAGGGAGTCACGATCCAAGAAGTTGGTAGGCTCGTCAAGCACGAGAAGATGAGGGTTGTTCCACATAGCTCCAGCAATAACGACCTTGACCTTCTGGCCTCCGGAAAGAGAGCCAATCTCGTTGTGGTTGGCGATCTCGGGGTCGAGTCCGAGATCTTCAAAGTGCTTGGAGATGACCTTGGGCTGAAGCTCACGGTAGCCGAGACCCTCTCGGGAAGCCTCGTGATCGTCAAATTCCTGGACGAGCTTGTCGAATCCAAGCTCGGTAAGGGTCTCACGAGAGATCATGGTGTTGTTCTTGGGCAGGAGACCTCGCCACTTACTGTTAGAAGTTAGCCATGAGCTTTGTGATAAAAACATTAAGGGAACTTACACTTCGTATTGGAAGGTCTTCTTGTACTTTGAACGACCAACCAGAGACTCAATCTGGCGTGGAGACTTTCCATCCTTCAAATCAACCCACTTCTCCATCTGAGCACGATCGGCATCTGACAGAACACGAGTCTGCTTCATGTGAACCTCGCGGTCGTCACCGTGCTGGTAACGCCACTGAAGATACTGATTAGGGGTCTTCTCCAAATGCATCTCAACGTGCTCTAGAGCGTGCTGCTTGATATAACCAATACGGAGGTTAGGGTGTTTCTCAACTTTTCCGGTGGTAGGGATAGTCTCGCCGGTAAGGAGCTTGATAAGAGTCGACTTGCCAGCACCGTTGGGGCCAATGATAGCAACACGAGAAGACAGACTCAACTGACAAGAGACTTCCTGCAGTGAAGGCTTCGTCGCACCGGGATAAGCGTATGAGACGTTGGACATGCGGATAATAGCGCGAGTCTGCGACTTGACACCAGTCAGGATACCAGGAGGAGGGAACTTGAATTGGACCGTAGAGGCGGAGAGTGTGTAGTAGCTCTTTGCCTCCGGGCGAATCTTGACGAAATTAGCCAGGTTACCCTTATAACAAGCCAGCTTCTTGTTAGGCTCGTAATGGTAAATATCAGTTGTAACATTGTCCAGGAATCCGGAGTCGTGAGAAACAATGAGACTGGTGATATCGGGATGAGACTTGAGGTAGTTCTCGAGCCAAGCGATGTTGGCAACATCAAGATGGTTAGTAGGTTCGTCCAGAAGTAGAACGTCGGCACGCTGGAGCATAGCTCGGGCCAGAGCCAGCTTCATCTTCCAACCTCCAGAAAGGGAACCAACTCTCTCAGCCTGACGACCCTCGGGGCCAGCAGTGAAGCCGAACTCGGCCAAAACCTCAGAGATACGCTCACGGCCTTGAGTAGCAATCTCAGGGTCCTTAGCAACGAACTCAAGAATGCTGATGTCAGCGTCTTCGCCCTGGTTGTGTTCAACATAGCAGGTACGGAGAACATCTTGAGGAGGGAATCCCTCGAGCTTGCCATTAGCAATGCTTCGCATGAGGGTAGACTTTCCAGCACCGTTGCGGCCGCAAAGACCATATCGGTGACCCTTGAGGAGTCGCAGGTTGGTGTGTGACAAGAGCAGCATACCACCATAGGCGAGAGAGAAATCGGCGTTGACAATTTCGACCTCACCGTCGTCCTCCTTCTCAGGAACCCCGTACCGGCGGTGGTCCTCGTCTACATAGTGCTGCTGAATAGTGTCGGCAATCTTTTGAGGAGCCTCGGCATCCTTCACGAAACTCCTGACGTAGGGAGCAATTCTTCCAGAGATGCGATTGACGAACCGATAATTGACATCAATAGCGACCATGTCGGAAATATAGGGACGAGCCTGCTTCCAGAGGTCCAGGCTTCCAGTAAGGCCGCCGTTGACCTTGATCTGCTCATCAAGAATCTTGGCTACGTCGTCTCCTGCGGTACGAGCAACGACGTCCTTATCGTCACCCATAGCCTTCTCCATAGTGGCGAGGGCGCGTTCAGCGATCTCACGGACCTCAGGGAGCGAGGCTCGGTCGCAAACACTCTTGACGCCAGGGATCAGCTTGGGTAAGAATGTTCGGGCCTCGATGGGGTCATGGACCAGCTTTGTCAAGTTTTCGACGATAACAACAGTCTGTCGGAGAACCTCCTGGGCAGTGGTGGGGTTGTTAAGAGATCGCTCGAGGAAAGGGGTCAGAAGAGCCAGGACGGGTGAGGTAACGATGGCGACGAAGGTGGTTTGAGACAGAGCGTGAATAGCCTTCTGGAGAGTCTGAGACGAAGGGTGCTGCATGGTATCAATAAGAAGAGGGATACGAGGAGCAACATCGTCGTTGGAGAGAAGGGTAGTGAGAGAGTTCATAGTGTGGACGGCTTGCTTCTCGACCTCGGCCTTCAAGTCATGCATGCCATTCTCGACCACGGGGATCAAGCCAGCGAGCTTTGCACCCATGGCCTCGCGGAGGATATCCTTCTCAAGGGCCTCCTCTTTGGTGCCTCCAATAGAAATTTGAGCCTTATCAGCCATCTTCTGAAGAAGCTTGTAGGCGCCAACGGTTCCCTGCCACTTTCCGGTCTTCTTGGAAAGGTATTCGGTAAGAGCAGGAAGGAGACCAGCAACAAGAGCCTCGGGGCTCAGGATGCCAAAAGCGGCATCGAGGCCATAATGTGCAGCCTCACGGACGACAGCGCCCTTATCAGAGAGAGCATCAAGAGCGCAGCCGACAAGACCGCCATCCTGGAGGAGCAGAACGACCTCGCTGACAGGCTGCCGAGGAAGGAAACGCTCAAAGACGGCACCTAGAAGGTTCTGACTGGACTCGCGACGAAGACCCGACTTCTTATCAGCGGCAGCCTTCTTGATCTCGGCAATGATGCCGTACTCGTTCAAGCCGGCAACGCCAACCGAAGAGAGGATAATCTCGCAGAGGCCATAGCATGCATCGATCGAAGCGGCCGAGGTCTTTGCAGTGAAGATTGTGTTGAGGAGGTCGTTGATGGTTTCTTGAGATGGCGGGGGCGGGGCCTCCTTAGATACCATCGTCGGGTCCTGCGACGGCGGCGTAACGGGGTGAGGCATCGTCTACGGTTGTCTTCGTATAAGAAAACAAATATATACGATTAATGGGCCTCGTTGAGTATTAGGTACTGTTCCAGGAGAGGACAGTAGGAATAAGAAGGAGGGGGAAGGAACAACAAAAACCAACGAGGCCCTTGAGGGAAAAATAGGTAGCGAGCGTAGAAAAACCGCTGCTTACGATGGATGTTAGGTAAAACAAAGCGACTTTCATAGGTTGGGCGCACTAACTACTAAATTTCGGTTTGAAATTTTTCTTATCGCTAGCGGCGGTTGTCTTATCGCCATCCACTCGGAGACTCCGCCCCACTGCCTGACTATACTTAGTAGGTAGGTAGAGCCTAACTAGATGTATCCTTGTTTATTTCCACGTGCATTCTGGGCAATCAATTAGTGGACTCTTAGACTCTCAACAAGCGATTCAGAGTTACCGATCCAGAGGCAAATCAAGTACATTTCCTATTCTGTCAGTGACTAGGCACGGTCTACCCGATTAATTCGATCAAAGTTCTGGACATTACTCCATGGGTTGTAAGAAAAGTGAATGGATCTAGTGGCTTAAACTGACTGTGGTATCTAAATAAAGTCTCAGATGTGTATCAGAGCCAAGGCTCGTCTTCCCAGTCAATGCCCGTCCAACGCCCGCATGTCGGTGGCCATACCACAAGTTACCGACTTTTCCAGAGTCTTTGCTAAAAACAAAAGGGGAATGAATGCGTGAAATATAGTCGACTAGTTAACATAAGGTAGGTAGGGGGTATAACAAGAGAAGAAAGAAACAGGCATCATATCATCCTGACCGCCTCACATGATGAATACTTCCCAGAAGCTACGCCATCTTGAAAAAATAAAATACAACTACAATGCAAGAGTAAAATTCCACCTCAGTGCATCAGCTAATGACTGTGTTCACTTCTCAGAGCCACTGGACCTTGGAAACCAGAACTTCCAGGGACAACGTCGTGCATTTCCAATCCCTGAGAGCTCGATCTCGGCCGCTTGTCTCGTCGAATGCCTAGGCGTTGGTCGCCTTCATGATAATGCGCCTTGAACTGATAATACGTGGGTTGTCGAGGGCGGCATAGAACGACAACAAAGTTCTTGAACATGTTGGCTTGAGAGAATGCCCGGAAACGCTCCTTCTTAGCAAACTTGTGTGAGTTCATGTACTCTCTAGTCGTTTCGCCTCGCGCCATAAGGAAGACATGATATCCCATCAAAGCAGCAGGATAAAGGAAGGAGATAAACCCAAGAAATACCAACGCAAAAGGAACTCGGAAGTGGTCAATAGCTTTTCCGAATGAGACGCCTTCACGATTCTTGTAAAGAAGAATCTGTGTAAGAGAAGTGGCGATGAGGTATGCTGCAAGGATAGTTGCGGATGTAACAAAGGTAAAGAAATATCGGTAATTACGTTTCCCGACACAGTTGTTGAGCCACACGCAGTGATGATCATGGGTTTCGATACAGTTATCGCATAAACGACAGTGGTGGGCACGGGGTGGTCGCCAGATATTGCATGTTCTACAGTGCTTAACCGGAACTTCCATGGCGGCTGTTGATGATTCCGCAGATTTTATCAATGCCCAATCTGTCGTGGGCGGGCTGAGTTGGAGAGGGTCGTCGTTGTCGTCGACAGGGGGAAACTGGTGAAGATTTCGCGGAAGAATCTAACAAGCATTAGCCAACACGCATCCAGCAGTGACAAGATATAAGACTTACCCCAGGGTCCGTAACAGAGGCGTGGATGAAGGAAGAGAAACATATATACGCAAGGTATGCAAAAACAATAGGTATCGCAGGCGATACATGCTTCCATAACCAAGGTGCTTCAAAACCAAAGAACAGAGCGCAAGGAATGATGACAAAGATACCAGTCGCAATATTAACAGGTCTCCCTCTTGTGTTTTGCCAGCGACCACCAAGACAGAATACTGTGTTGCCATCGAAATACTGATGAACACGTCCGAGATCTGATTTCTGACTTGGCTTATGAGAGACCCGGGGATGACGCTCAGTATGAGAGTCTACAGGTCTGAACTGTGGTGAAGATGCGGACGAAGAGAGTTTCTCAGCTCCTTCGGTACTGCGATTCTGACTTTGCTGGCCTTCGTTACTTCGACCCGGCATAAGAAAGCTTGATCGAAACGACCGTGGAGATTTAATCGGGCTGGGCAGGTTGTGTAGGTCCTTATAACTCTTGTCCACAATGATGTTATGCTGAAAGTGACCTGTATCGGAAGTCTTGCCTTGTTGAAGAGGACGAACACTATCAGTCAAACTCCCCGCAGGATAATGGCCATGGCTAGGGCTCGTATTCGCTGTTATTCTGTCCAAAGTTTCTTGTTCCGTCATTTCCGTGCCCCGGGATGGTGGAGATCGCATGTTATCGTCATTGCTTGTTTGGCGTTGCAGCTGCGCAATGGGGTTCGATATAATACTTTGCCGTGTTTGACTACCACTAGCTTCGCCGTGCTCATCGAATCTTTGTTGTGACGTTGGCGATGTTGGTGACGTTGGCGAGGTAGGAGACGCTGGCGACATTTGACTCATTGTAGATGGGCGATGCGATCCTCCTCTTTGCGCCTGTAATTTCTGCGAGCTCATGGGTCTGAAAAAAGCGTGCGACTGCAACGATGGAACATGGCTCCTACTTGATAGACTCGGCGCTTGGCTTGTCGAACCGGCAGTCGAACTCTCGACACTCCCTCTCTTCGCTTGTACGCCAGAAAGATATGTCTTGTTACGCAAAGACTGACCCTGCCATGGACCCCTGGAAGACGCTCCCGTTCTTGCAGTATCAGGCCGAGAACCCATGTCCGCACTTCGAGGAATGCTCATTCTGTTCTTTTGCAACTCTGGCCCGTCCCCGTCCTCACTCGCGATGTCCGTCATTCGAGAAGAAATTATGCTCGGCGGCCGGGCCGCTTCGGAACGGGAATTATGTGGCGCTGAGAAGCCATCGTCATCGGATTTCGCGGCCATAGCGACGGCAACGTTGAGTAATGGTGTCGTTAGCAGTCGTCTACCTAGAGACGACTTTACAGGAAGTCCTGATCGAAATTAAGGCAACGGTTGCGCGAAAGGTCGAACCGAGCTCAGCCTCCCATTCAGAGTCTTGTTAAATTCGTCGCCTAGCCAGTGAATAGGTAGTGTCGAGCGATATCCAAAAGTGAAATCGGCACGGTCGGCAGGTTGGTCGCGTTACGCAGTACTGTACAAAGGAACCAAATGAAGGGATGGAAGGACAGGGGTGAGAGGATACGGGTTTCGATCGTGGAAAAGGGAATTAGGAGAAAGTGGTCGCGAGAAAGATAGCTAAGCACGGTAGGTACTAGGTAGGGAGCGCACAATTGGAGAGTTAAACCAGTAAGTAAAAGAGAACGTAGTTAAAGGGCGGCCAGCAACGAAAAGAAAGGTGATGGGATGGTGACAAGATGAAGAGGAGGTGTATGCTTGTTCCTTTTTCCTGTCCTTGCCTTGCCTTGTTCCGGCTCAGGACTGGTTTCTTTTTCCCCCAGCCCAGCCCAGTCCAGCCTCAGAAACCTTGGGCCCGACTCCTTAGGTAATTGGACGTTCGCGCTCTCCCAAGCTGTCGTTCTCAGGACCCCTACCTAGTAAGGGGCCAGGGGCTAACCTCAGGACGCTGAAGCCCCTGCTAGCGGCGCTGTTCTGAGGGCTGTCGGAGGTTGAGAACTCCAGACGATAACTGATCACGAAAAGTACTACTAACTAGACTAAGAGATTGCTATGGCTGAGCGCATACATACGCCGCAATCAAAATACTCTGTAGCTTTCTCATGCACAAAAAGACGTCACTTTCAACAGATTGTGGAAACCTCTGCTGCAACCCGTTTCGTTGACGTTTGACAGCCAGTCCCAGAATAACGTCGGTTACGGTAACTAGTAGGTACTCCGTAACTCAGTTAATAATGATGGTTGCATTCACTTAAAACTCGGCTGAAGCCAGCTAGCCAGCCAGCCAGCCAACTTTACTAGGTAAGCAGTCTTGGCTTCAAGAGGTTGATATGATCGTCGCTGCATCACAATGAACGAATCTTTCATAGTACTTAGGTACCTTACTTTAGCCAGGGACAATGGTACCTTAGTACCTACCTACGGAGTACGTAGTACCTAAGGTAGGAGAAGGCCAGCTTGTGGCCTGGTTACCCAGGCACCATCGCTAGAAAGCTCTGGACTCAACTCAAGACGTCATTCCTTGTAAATCGTGATACTACACGTGACCTCCTCAACTCCCCCGGCATTGGCCAATGAAAGTGCACGCATTCATCGTAGCGACTGTCTCCGAAATCATACGAGAACTTCAAAGCTTCAACCACCTAAGAAAGACCCCGACGTAGAAACCCATTCTTCAACAGCAAACAAGAGCACGTCGTCAAAATGACCTCTCGCATCTCCCGCCGATTCCTCTCCACCACCGCCCGCCGCTTCCAGGAGCACCAGAAGGCTGAGCTCAAGAAGGAGTCTCGTCGCAACCCTGAGATTCTGGTGCGTCATAATGCCTCGGCCCACCCTTGGAACGATGCCCGGCCAAAACAATGAGCGGCGGAAATGGACCACGAATTATGGTTGCTAACGTAGATGGATGATTTGTAGATTCTCGGCGGTGTCATGGTTGCTGCCCTTGGTGGTGCTGGCTACTACCTTGGTACGGAAATCAATTGATATGTCAAAACTGAAGCAATTGCTGACATCGCCATCTTCAGGCCGATCTCCCACTGGCGCTACCTCCGAGTCTCCCGTCACCATTGCTACTCACCCCTGGGAGAGCGGCAGCTCTGGCAAGTACCAGTACCACCCCGGTGGTGACCCCAATGCCGCTCCCAAGGACGCTCCCAGCGCTCTCAACGTTGTCGTCGTTCCCAACGTTACCCTTCCCGCCGAGCTTCACGAAAAGTACAACAAGTGGGGCAAGGACGGATACCCTTAAATCACGAGTTTGGAATGATGTTGGAGCTGGCTACATGGACAAGCATGTATTGTAAGGAAAGAGGCGAGAGTTTATGAGTGGATCAGCCAGGCCTCTCACACCCTGTGTAGAAAGAAGGACAAAATGGGCTTGATCTAAGCAACCACCCATAGTTCACATACGACGCACCGCGATTTTTCTTAGCTTTGTGTCTTTCAACTATAATTTGACTTATCTCTGGCCTTATTATATCTGTGCCTGATCTCCAACTCACGGGAATTGACCGGGCGAAAGGCTGGTCTGGATATGTTCACATGGGCTGCCAAACACACCGGCGACATGGTATGATTTCACATACGTCACAGAATAACTCTTGTTTCTCGTTACTTCTTGGTATCTCATCACTCACCACTACAACACCCCGTCGTTCCTTGTAATATCCTAAACTCCTGTCTTCACCAGTCTTGTGACAACTTTCTCTGGACTCGACGCCGACAACTAAACAACCAACGCATCAATCTCTTCGGAAGTGAATCCAAGAAGGTACAGGAGATCCAAGAGGCTCTCTCCGTTCAGGCGGGCGTTAGCTTCCATCTGAACACGAGGCTTTGCATTCCATGCAACTCCCAGACCTGCCTTGTCCAGCATGAGCAAGTCGTTAGCGCCATCGCCAACAGCAATGACCTGACACAGATCAATGCCCTCCTTGGCAGCAATGTCAACGAGGAGATCCCTCTTCCGCTCCTTTCCCACAATGACCCCCTCAACCTCGCCCGTGAACTTGCCGTCCTGAATAACGACATGGTTCGCGTGGGCGTAATCAATGCCCAGTTGGCCAGCTAGCCATCCTGTCAAAGGCTGGAAACCGCCTGAGAGAACAGCTGTCTTGACGCCCAGTCGCTTGAAGGCCTTGATCAACTCTGGTACGCCCTTGGTGACGTCCAACACTGGTCGCAGGCCTTCGAACAGGTTGGCAGGGAGGCCCTTCAGAAGAGCAACTCGTTCGCGGAAAGAAGCCTCAAATTCCAGCTCACCCATCATGGCACGGTGTGTGATCTCGGCAACTCGTGCAGCCAGATCTGGGGGATCCTTGACATGATCAGCCAAAAGGTCAATCACCTCTTGAGTGATGAGTGTGCTGTCCATGTCAAAAACCACAAGTCGAGGATGGCGTCTCCATACTGTGTCCCGCTGAAGGACCACATCGACATTCCACTCCTGCTCAAATCGGTAGATCATCTCATGCTTTCTCAGGTCATCCAGGCTGAGATATTCAGGGGATGGCGTAGGAGAGAGCGTGAGCTCAACAATGCGCGGCTGCTCTTGGTTATCCAAACATCGATGAGAGGAGTGAGGCTCATCTGCGTCCTGAGGAAGAGGGAATGAAGACATGAGGTGGAGGAATGAGGTGATGCATAGGGGTGAGATATAGGAACCATAGATGTGGTCGAGCTGTTCTGACTCTTGAGTTGGCGGCTCCAGAGGATACTCGTTGGGATCAGTTGTCGGGGCCAAGTTGGCGGGCAGAGACTCGTTACTGTCTGCAAAGGTGGTTTTGACGGGAGATCGGGAGCCCTGGTCCTCGCCCCTCGGCTTATAGAAAAGGGTCGCGATAAGACGATCCGACTTCTCACCAGCTCTGGGAGCGCAATTGGGGTGAGAGTACGAGTGGCTCAGTCCACTGTCGACGACGGTGGGGGGGTTCTCCTCAGAAGGGATGCCATTGAAGGGCAAGATAGGCCTTGTCTGGGGAACGGGTGAGTTGCTGGTATCCTCTATAACGGTGTCGATGCCGTGGAACAGCTGATCCTGTCGAGCTGAGTCTGGTCGAGGAGGGCGGTACTCCTGGTGGTCACTAAGGTAAGAGCTGCTCCTCATGGAACCCAGCTGCGGCCGTGTGACATTCTGTTTGGTGGGACTTGTCTGGTCTGCCATTGTGCTGAGTGTCTGTTTGTGTGTGTGTACTGTAATTGCGTACGTGCGCGGGGTGAGATTTGCTAACGTCTGACTGACTGGCTCTGACTGGTTCCGGTAATCAATAGCGTCAAGGAAAGGCTGAGATACGAGGTTTAGAGCCCAGAAAGAATACTGAGAAATGTTTAAATCAACGTATAGTAGATAGGATAAGTGATAGCGCGCAGGTGCCTAGGTATGGTACAGCGAGCAACGGACCCTAGAAGCTTTGCGTTGAATCAGTCTTCAGACTCAAAGATGAGAGGGTAGTGAGCGTGGGTTGGTAGGTTGTCTTTTCCGTGTTTAGCCCCGCCAATGGGCTCGTGCGACTTTGACCTCACGGCATCTGCGGCTCCCTGTCAAGCTTTGTCTAGGGTATGATTGGCGCAAATAAGCCCGCAGCCTCACGGGTTTTGTCATTTTGATGAAGACCTTCAATGAACCTGGAAAATCACGTGAGTTTAATTTAAGATGTATGTAACTCTGAGGAATTGTCTGTGGTAAATCTCTGGAGGCCGTGGCTGTAACTTGTAGCCCACACACAGTTTGTCTTGTTGGAGTTGGCTCCATATGGCTCGGTGTTTGGCAAACTGTCGGTGTCGACTCATGAAGGAAACATTGAGATGATGAATGCTTGGCTCACCCAGGAGCGAAAATCAACAAGATTATA